CACAGAGCACCGCGGAAGAGCATTTAATAGGAAGTTCACGCCTCCTTCCCAACCGATGTCGCAAAACTTGTCCAGAGGTGGGGTTTGAACCACGTATCTTACGTTTCTGAAACAAGTGCGCTACCACTGCGCCACGGCTGCTCTACCACTGCGCCACGGCTGTAAAGTATTGCAGCAGTTAGATAGTGGCGAAAGTTTTTTATTATTTAATATTTTTAAGTACTAATGTCATGATTGATATTAGAGAAAATTTGAGTCTATCATAGGTAGAACATGACATCTCAAGAAATTAGTTATACAGTTGTCTCATTTCTGCTAGTTAACCCAAACTCGTATCTTAGGGCTTCTTATGTGGCCTCAACAAGACATTAATGGGGACACCATCCATGCGCAACACGGCATTCTTAATAATCTGATATTTTACAGCTGTTGATCTGTACTCTCCGAGGGGAAAACTAATAAACTGAATTTTTTGGTTGTATCGTCATTTTGAGATAGCAGAAAAAGTTGCATAGTCACTATCATAATACTTTCAATTTGTAAAATAAAATTTAACTTTATCTAATTAAATTTTAGGTTAATCTTATGCTATTTTTGAAAATGTTTTACTTTTAAATGTTAATATTTTAAGTTTAAATGTAATTTTCATTCAAATAAGAAAAATTCCTTCCCAAAATAAATCAGGGCCCAAAACGTTTGGTAAACAAGTATTTTAGCAGTTGTACATTTAGAATTTATTTTTTACGAATAAAATAAAAGCTCAAAAAGATTGAAGCCAAAAAGTTAGAAGTAAGACAATTTTCTGTATATTTTCCCTGACCCTCATTCAATATATATACTCACATTGCATATATTTTTTATTTTGTAAAAATGTTGTTAATGTGAACATTTTAGAAGCGAAAATTTTCTTTTTTCAGACGTGTATGTTCGCTGAACCCACTGATTGCGCTCCAATTAGTTTAACTTTTCGAAACTTTTTTTGAAATTCTTTTTTTCAAAAAATTAATTTCTCTTTTCAATATTAAACTAAAGTTTTCGAAATTAGTTTGGCTATTTGATAATTTTCGAAAGTTTTTATTAAATTTGAAATAAATTAGTCCTACTCAAAGTAGTTCAGGTGCTTTTCAAAAAACTGCTGCCAGTTGGTAATTACTTTAAGGTATTTCCATAAAATATTTGGTCTACAATATAAACGATTAAATTATTTAAAGGAAAAACACCAAAAATCTTACTGTGAATGGCAAGCAATCTTTAACAGTTTATTTAAAATATAATATGTCTATCAGGATTTTATGTTATATAATTTAATATAATATAATTGCAGGGGCGGATGCAGGATTTTTTGAAGTTTGAGATAACTAACTTCCAGACATGAAGCGAACTCAAAACTTTTATATGTTTATAATTATATCAAATAAGGATACTTTGCATAAAATTGAGATGATAGAAGCCTGGGAACAAAAAAAACCCAAAATTTTTGCTACACCTGCCCCAAACGTGAGAGCAACAAGTTGATAAAATAATTTTTTTACTATTCTCAACTAAATCTATATTCATCGAGAATTTTTAAAATTCATACAATAATCTCTTAACGTTCAAAAGTTATAGCCACATAAAGTTTGAATCCCCCTCAATTTGAGGGGGTTACAAATTTTATAAGACCATTATTATTGAACGCTAAAAGATTGTTTTACAAAATTAAAAATTTCTCGATGAATATAGATTTAGTTGAGAAAAGTAAAAAACTTATTTTATCAACTTGTTGCTCTCACGTTTGGGGCAGGTGTAGCAAAAATTTCGGGGCTTTTTTGTTCCCAGGCTCCTATCATCTCAATTTTTTGCAAAGTATCCATATTTGATATAACTATAAACATATAAAAGTTTCGAGTTCGCTCCATGTCTGAAAGTTAGTTATTTCAAACTTCAAAAAATCCTGTATCCGCCCCTGAATTGTATTTTGGAATACTAACTTTAGCTTTAATTTTCAGACCGTTAAAATCTTAAGTTCTTGAATGGTATTTTTTAGTGAATACTCTAGCTGGAAATATTTTAACTAATGCAAAGACATATAGACATTTAAAATATATTTCAAGGAATTAGAAGAAAAAGAGCCATTACTACCAGCATAAATTTTTTTTTTACTTTTACTTGTGAGGAACATTTAACTTTTAGTAAAAAAAACATGTTCTATAAGAAATATTTGGATTTAAATACTTTGTAAAAGTTTTAGCTCTATTGATTTATTATCATGTCCAAATTAAAGACGTTTTTAATTTTATTTAAAACAATTTGAAGCAAACCGACACACAGCGACAGAAATGCTTCAAAACTGGATATTTGACTAGAATGAAAAAAAACGTTATGATACATTTTTTGGTGGTAATGTATAAAATAATATAAGTCTCTGGTCCACATGTTTTTTTTAGGGTGGGGCTCACCTTAAGCCCAGTAGAACCCATAATCTAGCTCAATTCTTTTGTTTGAAAATAACTCGCTTACGCGAGTTAATAGTACTACTTTGTTTTTATAGTGTTAAAGCTGAGGTTTGTTAAACGTTCCAAATTTTTTTCGGCGATTCTTTAATTATAGGTTTGCCACTATCATTTGGTAATAAAAAATAATTTTAAAGTGTTTAAAACATACATTATTTATTTTTTTTAAAAATGCGCTTTTTTTTTCCTTTTCTTTTTTGTAGTTATTTAGGCGCTCCCAGAAGTCCTTACTGTCAAGTCACAGAGCACCGCGGGAGAGCATTTAACAAGAAGTTCACGCTTTCTTCCGTACCAATGTTGCTTGTTGGGCTAGAGATGGCGTTGAACCTCAAACCTCGAACCTCTGGGTTCTGATCCAGAATCAGATCTGAGCCAGAACTCTAACCGCTGCGCCACGGCTGCTCATGGCTGATTTTTGTTTATGTTCTCATTTAAATACATTTTCAAATTATTTTTTTCAATGAAATTGCTGATGATTACAGATTGTAAAACTTTTTTCTTTTTTTTTTTTTTGCACTTATCAGGGCCGACGACAAGGATATCGAAGTGGAAGGGCACAATCGTAAATTTTTAAAAAAGTACTCTATATCTAGAATTTTCTTTAATAATAAAAAAAAAAAGTTCTTAAGAAAAAAAATGGTGGGGAGCACAACCCCGGCACCCTTGGTGTCGTCGGCTCTGCGTATTTGAACTTTTTGTGTGTATTAGTGGAAATGTGTCAATTTCATCAGTTGAAACCAGTTAACGAAACTAGGTTATGAATGTTTTTTTTTTTTGTAAGATTTGTTTTCGGCATAGTCGCAAGGAATATATTTATTGTTGTGACTATGTTTTCAGTAAATTATCGACTTTTTGAGTAACTTTTTACATTAAATTCGAATTACTATAATTTATTTTAGTTGTAAGCTTTTAATTTTTTCTTTTTTATATTATCACTTACCTTTTTTTAAAAAAACTTTGCTTGGAATTACTCGGAAATACATTGGAAACGTCTGGAAATACATTTGAAAAATCTCTAAGAATTTTTTTTTAAATTAGACCACAAGAAGTTGTAATTAAGCAAAAATAAATTTACATTTATTTCATTTTATTCTAAACCCAAGTTATAGATTGTCAAAGTAAGACTTTTTATAAAAAATTTCGGTTTTAGTTTTACTAATTCGCCTACACTACGTTGAGTAATCGATAATTATTTTAGCAGCTCTTGATAATGATATTTTCGAACCACGGAAACCATAACTGTTGTTTTTTATACGCCTCGCTAAAAAAATTTTTTTTATTAAATAACGCTCTTTATATTTATATCATTGCATAGGTAAACGCAAAATATTTTATTTGAATTGAAATTTTATATTGAACAAAAAAGTATTAATCATTTATAAAAAAAAATTAGGAATTTTTTTACTTTTTGCACTAACCTCTTTATTTTAAAAAGCCCTATTTGAATCTATAGACTTTAAAACATCATCTCAGCGTTCTCTGTACAGATTGTTTTTAGATTTGTAAAGATTTTTTTACAATTTTGTTTGTAAAAAAATCCTTTTTAAGGAGCAATTAGTTAAAATATTATAAAGATTATTTGTTGTAAACGTGCTTTAAAATAGTAGGTGTCATGCTTAAATCAAATAGCATGTCAAGCAGATTTTCGTTTTTTATAGTATCCATTCCCACGCCGGTCAAATTGACGGGGTCGAGAAGGAAAATCTCTTCTAATTTATAAGTTATTATGCTGTATCAACCTCAAAACCTTTTCACCTCCCTACAATAATATAGAGAGTTTGTACAACCCAACAAAAAAGCTTTATTGAGTTAAAATAAAATAACGCAGCCTAATCATGAGGTCCCATGAGATTTTCAAACATTCCCATAAGATTTATACATTTATAGATGATTTTCTCTTTCTAATGGTACCAAAAAAGAATTTTATGAAAGAGGATATTGTCAACACTTTTTATCGACAATATTATATACAAAAAATATATTTTATTACATAACGTAGTTTATGACGTAAACATAAACTGTTTACGTTAAAGCTCAAAAACCTATATGCTCATTGAAAGTATGATTTTTTTAAAAACAAAATAAAATATTAAAATATTTAGAAGTTCAGATAAAAATAAATTATTCATTTTAATTGTAATAACAATTGAAACAAATTTAATTTAAGTTAATGCTGAAAACTTCAGAGTTTTAGATCGCAATACTCAACCCTAGACAACCTAAATTATAAAAGCGTATTAAAACGTATTACAATTTGTTAACAATAATACAAAAAGTAACAAAATAACAAAAGAAACTAAATTTAAACCTAAATACGTTTTAACTAGAATGAGAAAAAATTAGAACAAGTAAATATACTAATGCAAAATTAAAAACTTCGGAGCAAATAAAAAAAAATAATAATAATAAAATTTGATTTGCGGGAGGGTGGAGCCACGATTCCCACTTTCCGTGTAATTTTTTTATTACGCTCTTGCAACCCTGCTTTCCTTCAAGACAAAGATAATTTCGAAGAATCGAAGCTGAATTTTTTATGTATTTATTAACTATTCTAGTCTGTTTCGATTAGCGCTGTCAGATAAAAAAGTTGTGACCAAAACTGTTTTTTAGCCCATTTGATTAGGTGGGATAGCTTAGTGACTCATCATTAACGTTATAAAACATGACAAATATAACGGTTTCGTAATCTCTATAACATTTCTATTGTAACATTTTATACAGTATTTATCATGTTTATATAATATATATTTTTGATTAGTAGCACTTTACTAAATACTTTATGTAATTTTTCAACTTTTTGTGTTAAACAAAATGTATGAAAAAGTGAAATTTATGTAAATATTTTTTACGTCTATCCTATATTTTCCGGCAGACTAGTGATAAAAAATTAAAATTTTCTAGCGACAGTATTATTAGTACAGTCGAGTTTTAAAATTGCTAAATGACATATAATAAAATATATTAATCATGCTTAAAATCAATATTTAATAAAATATTAGATTTTCTTTCTGTTAGTTGATTCTAAACTATTTTTTTATAGCTTCAACAAGTAGGAATTTAAGCCTTTATGTTGTTTTGGTATGATACCAACACCATTTTATTCCCATATCAGCGATGAAGATTTTTTAAGTATATACGAACCTTCTGAAGATACTTTTTTGTTAATTGATACTCTTGAAAAAGAACAGCATATCTTAAAAAGCCAAAAGTAAATCATTTAGCTATATTTTTAGTTTTATTATTACGTTTTTATTTTTTATAATATATGTTTACATTGTTGTCATTTTAATTGTTTTATCGTATTTATTTATTATTGTTAAGTAATAAAAAAAGTTTATTAAGAAAAAATTTTCTTGTAAATATTTTTACAAAAAAACTTTCAGTTAAATATAAATTTTATGAAGTTAATCTATTGTTACAGACTGTTAACCAATTAATGGAAAATTCAGCTATTATACCTATTTCTAATTAATTTTATATTTTGCGAAGAAATTAAATGGTATCACAGTTTTTTTTTTTTTTTTTTGTTTTTGTTTTTTTATCTAAATCAAGAATATGGAAAAGAAGAAATTTAAGTTAAAAATTATAGAACATGTTTTAAAATTAAAGTTTAGTAAATAGTTTTTAAAATTCTTTAGCATACCAATGTCTTTTAAAACTAACAGTGTTCCAAATTGCACTTGCAGTTATACAAGTTGGATGCAGAAATCCAATAATCTGTTATAATATACAAACATAAACTAAAAATGTGCTATAATTGTTTGGTTTCTTATAAAAATCATGACAACAGTTTTGAAAGTTAAAATTTTAAGTTTTATTTTATGATGTTAACCATTCTATTTAAACATATTTATGTTTCAAAATATCTTGATACAATAGAGTTAATATGAGCTTCACTGCGAAGATATAATGAAAGTTTTATAATAGGTGTAAAACACAAATTAAGATTGTCTGCAATGATTGGCTACAAAACTATTTATATAAAAATCTTTAAACTTTGTTTATATAAATATCTTCAAACCCATTTGTAAAGTTTACTTTTAGAGTTATACTCTTTAACTTTGGATACCCAGAATTAGAGATCTAGTCTGACACATCTCTTGTTTATACAAATATTGGTTTAATTTATAAAAATTGAAACAAATATGTGTAATTTGTGGCTGTACAATATAGCGTTAAAAAGCATTATAAGTTATATATAATAATAAATATATTATAAAAAGCTTTACAAAACCTAAATCAATAATAATCATTTTATGATTAATGTTGATATTTTGAATGATTATTGTAAAAATTGAATTTTTTTTTTTTTACATTTTTTTAATAAATTTAATAATTTATAATCAATGAATATATTATAATAGATTTGTTGGTCATTGTGAGCTATTTTAAATTCATAATTTGTTAATTAACTAAATTTGAAAATTAAGTACAAATTTATTCATAGTTTATTTATAATTTTTATTTTTAATTTGCCATTTGATAATTATTTTGATATATATACTGTATTGTAATAAAATATTTTATTCAACTTTTTTTAGGCCATTGATATGTTTAGAGGTTGGATCTGGTTCAGGAGTTGTTATAACATTCCTTGCTAAAATTACTGAGAATAAATCATTTTATATGTAAGTTGTTTTTAATATTGAAATATTTAAATTTTCAAAACCACACTTAATTAAAAGCATAAAGAACACTAGATTCAAAAAAAAAAAAGATTTCTGATTACCAAAACATTATTGATATATATATATATATATAAAAAAAAAAAAATAAAAAAAAAACTTATTTTACTGTTGTCATAATAAAAGTATTGTTACTGTAAAACGGAGTGAATAGGGACAGTTTTTAAGGTTTTTCTAGTACCACTGACTAAGAATATAGTTTTGTAATTGTATTTTTAATGCTAAATGTAGCCATACACTGCTTCTATGAATTTGTTTTTTTTGATAGAAAAAATTTGTGACTATATTGACCTTATTTTTTTGTTTTATGTCTGTCCTATTGATCCAGCATGTAGGGTAAATAGATACATCAACTATTTTGGATTTTTGTCTCTATTTGACCACTTATATTGGTTTAATAGAGGCACTGGTAAAATTCAACACTAACCAGGATGCGCAATAGACACATAATTAGACTTTTTATAACAACTGTTATTAAAAAGTGCAGTTCTGAGCATAAAAAATTACAGATTTTCATTATAGTATGACTATGTAAAACATAAATGTGTTTATTATGTGCACAGTAGCACATAATAAACACATTTTAATTATAAATATTGTTTTATATGCAATGTTGAAATAACCCAGGCACATGTGCCTGGGCTAATCTGGCATTAGTATAAAATTGTAAGTGACCGGGCCCCTGGCCCAGGCTAAAAATAAGACATTTTTCAAACCTAGTCCTAGCCCTGGCAAAACTATAAGATTTAGCAAGGGTTGATAGCCGAGGCTAGAAAAAAATTTATAATACTTTATATATTATAATTTTATGCTTACATTTACTATTTATTAAATACTGGCATATATTTATATATTTTCAAACTCTAGTTTACTTCCAACAAGATTGCAAGTAACCACTATAAAGTTATGAGTTACCTTAAAATAGAGAATAAGTAAAAATTTTAGGAAATGGTTAGCTGAAAACTGAAGTTGTAGGTTGTATATAAAAGAAAAGAATGAAGATAGCTAAGAGTTACAAGTTTTTTTTGATGTGTGCAAGGTAAAAATTTTTATCTATATAAATCTCAAATCCGTCCTTGTATGAAATACTGTGCTCATATCTGGGGCGGATCTTCCAATGATGCCCTTTCTTTTTTTAGGCAAAGTGCAAAAAAGCATTGCAAGCATAGTTGGATCTGCTCTTGCAGCCAATCTTCAACCATTATCGCATTGTTGTAATGTTGCTTCTCTTTCTCTTTTCTATAAATACTATAATGAGCACTGCTCTAAAGGCTAGCATCTCTTGTGCCATCTACTAAAATTCATTTTAATGTTACCTGTCATTCAATAATGTCTCATCCTTTAACTGTGACTTTTCCTAATTGCTTCAATACTTCTTATTTTTCAATTCTTGGAATTTACTTCCTTTATCTTGTTTTCTTGATTCACATAATTTTTCAATCTTTTAAATTGTCTGTCAATTGTTATCTTGCTCTGTAAACTTCATCTTTTCTCTTCCAGTAACTTTTAACTCTAATAATGGTTGTTTGTAGCCTTGTTGTAGCCTTGTTGAAGATGATGAAGAAAAAATAAATTCTACAAGCAATTTTTAAGAATAAGTTAGAATCAGTTTTTTGTGATATCGACAATGTATATCGGATATTTTTAACCCTTCCATTACCAATTGTAGTTCTGACAGAGTGTTTTCAAAATTGGCAGCAACAAATTTTCTCAATGCTAAATGGTTTATTAATGATTTTTTTTTAATAGAAGTTGAAAGAGTTCTATTACCAATAAATATTTTGAAGATATCATATTTGACTTTGAATATACTTTTTTTTAGAAATAGGGCCCTGAAATAATTTTTGCACTAATCCTTAACCCAACCTTGCATATGCAACATATTGTGGTAAAATGTTGCATGTCTTATTAATGTTGCAGATTTTAACTGTTTTTTTTTTTTTTTTTTTTTATTATTATCTTCGCTTCCAACAAGGCTGCAAGCAACCACTAATTAGTGTTGGAAGTTACTGGAAGAGAAAAGATAAAGATTAGAGAGCAAGATAACGATTGACAGACAACTTAAAAGATTGCAAATTATATGAATCAGGAAAGCAAGATGAAGGAAGTGAATTCCAAAGAACTCATGTTCGAGGAAAAAAACTAGACGAATAAGAGTTTTTGGAACACTTAGGAACAGTAACAGAAAAAGGATGAGACTTGATTGAATGACGAGTAACACGAGAATGAATTTTAGTAGATGGCACAAGAGATGCTAGCTCCTTCGAGCAGTGCCCATTATAGTATTTGTAGAAAAGAGAAAGAGAAGCAACATTACGACGATGTGACAGAGGTTGAAGGTTGGCTGCAAGAGCAGGTCCAGCTATGTTTACAATGCGTTTTTGTACCTTGTCTAAAAGAGAAAGGGCGTCATTAGAAGATCCGCCCCAGATATGGCAACAGTATTCCATACAAGGCCAGATTTGAGATTTATAGAGATAGAGAATAGAATCCAGAGTAAGAAAGTGACGAGCTCGATAAAGAGAAGCAACTTTAGCAGATGCTAATTTTGCAACGGATTTGATATAAGGTTTACAAGAAAGATCAGAAGTAAGAGTTAATCCTAGAAGATGAAGGGTAAGAGACTTATCGAGTACATTATCGTTCATAAATATAGGAAGGTCTTAATTATTGCGATAACGATTGGCCGAAAAAAATTGAGTTTTATCTGAATTAAAGTTCACCAGCCACTGTGAGCCCCATGCTGTAGCAGAAGTGAGATCCTTTTCAAGCTCAGATGTCCCCTGCAAGCAATCAGAGGGAGTTGGCTTCTTATCGTGACAAGAATAAATAGTAGTATCATCAGCAAACAATGCCACCTTAGATGTGAGAATAAATCTGGAAGATTGTTAATGTTAATTAAAAAGAGTATAGGGCCAAGGATTGAACCTTGGGGAACCCCTGAGGTTACAGAATAAGAAGAAGAGTGCTGTCCATCAAAGACAACTTTTATACTATGATTGGAAGGAAAGGATTTAATAATCTTAAAGATGTTTTCAGATACACCATAAGAAGAAAGCTTATAGAGAAGACCAGCATGCCAAACTTTATCACACGCTTTAGAAATGTCAAGAGCGATGGCCTTAACCTCTCCACCTTTATCTAATGCGCGATAAAACCTATCGGTTATTACTGATAGCAAATCAGCCGTAGAACGAGAAGGTCGAAATCCATATTGATGATCAGAAAGTAGGTTATGAGATTCGAGATAAGAGATTAAGTGTTTGTTAATTAAAGATTCAAAAACCTTGCTTATGATAGGAAGAAGATTAATGGGACGGTAGTTAGATGAGTCAGATCGCTCTCCAGAATTTTTAAAAATAGGGATAACAGATGCTGCTTTCCAGCAGGCTGGAAAACAAGACTCTGATAAGCACTTGTTAAATAGTTTTGAAAGGATAGACGACACCTCCGGAGAACACTTCTGCAAGACTATAACAGGTATGTTGTCCAGGCCGCAAGCTGTAGAAGAGTCTAAGCGGGAAATCACTTTAGATACAAAAGCTGGAGTGATACGAATGTCGAGCAATGGATCAACCTGTTTGACGGGTATATCAGGTAGAACGCAACTAGTGGCATCAAGAGATGATATTGATGAAAAGTTCTTGGCAAACAATTCAGCTTTGTCTTTAGGTGAGATGACAAAGTCTGAACCATACAAAAGAGGTGGAATTACAGACTTGCCCTTATTATTGATACTATTAAAAATTCTCCAGAAGTCACGAAAGCCTAATTTTTGTGATGAAATACGAGATTTCATGATCTGAGAATAGCAAGCTTTTGCGTTAGACAATACCTTTTTTTGAAGAAACCATGAAGAAGACCTGAATCCACGAAGTTATGTAAGAAGCACATTTGTCTACAGGGAGACGAAAGATTTCTACCCAGGGGCCATCACGAAGAAAATCACGGAAAGAGTCCCAGTCAGCTTTAAGGTAGTTGTAAGATGTACGATGATAGGGGGATTCTGATGGTAAAGAAGAATGAGAGAATAGTTTTAGAGAGACCAAACCATGATCAGATGCACCTTAGGGTGAGTGTGAAGAAACTGAGCACTGACTAGAATCAGAAACAAGACATAAGTCGAGTAGAGAAGGTAAATGATTCGGGTTGTCTGGAAAGCGAATTGGAAAGTTGACTATTTGAGTTAGGGATTGAGAAAGACAAAAGTTGTGGGCCTTAATGCCTTCAGAGTCACTGACACTAGAGCCAAGCCATTCAGTGTGATGAACATTAAAGTCACCGACAACAACAATATTAGCTGATGGATAAAGAATGAGGGCTTGGTCAATATAATCAGAAATAACATCAAGAAGAGTGCAGTCTTGAGATGAGGGAGAGCGATATAGAACAAAGAGAAAGGTGATAGAGTGAAGTGGTGCTAAACGAAAGCACATAAAAGAGTAGTCTGTGGATTCAAACCTAGTTTTCCGACAAATGGGTGAATTCTTATGAATGTAAATGCCCAGGCCAAGCATGTGACTATTGGAGTCTTTACGAATTAAAAGAAGATAACCATCAACACTAAGATCACAAGATGAAACAGCTGAACTCAAATTAGTCTCACAAAGAGCAAGTAGGTCTGGTAAACTTTGCAAGAGGTAAGACTCAATAGAAGAAAAGTTACTTCGAAGACCACGAATATTGGTGAATGATATGTTTAGCGAACTTGGTGATGACTGTGGTTTTTTGTTTTTTATAGTTTTTGTTACTTTATTCATTTTTAGATTTGTTAAAGAACTTGACTCGAAACATAGATAGTACTCAGTACACTGTTTTATAGCTCAAGCAATTGCCTCATTTTCACTAATAAACCCTAAGCCGTAACAAAGGGCTCTGATGTGGCCTTGGCAATGCACACCAAAAGTACAAACAGGGATACCACCCATGCACAACATGGCACTGTTAGTACTCTGATATTTTTCAGCTGTTGATGGAATCAGCGTCTCTGAGAGCTACCACAGAGTTCGGGAAACCTGACTACCAGCCGGCCTCAGAACCATAAAACTGAGTTTTAGAGCTGTACCCTCATTTGGAGATAATAGAATAAGTTGCCTAGTCATAAAAACAGAGACACAAGCAAAACCCATGAATCGAGTCAAGAAGATCCAGCGTTCAACATCCTAAACTGGAAACAATGTATTAAAAATACATCTGTGCCAGCCTAATAGATGAGGAAGGGGTGCAAGGCTGGTCAACAGATAGAATCTGTTTACCCCTTAAGTCTTCACCTAGGAGGCCTTCTACAAGACAGCAGCTGGATGCATGTAACTGTTTGTACTTTCTGCCCAAGATGAGTATTTTTTTCGAGACACCATCTCTGGTTTATGAAACTTACTGGATACTTTGTATCATGTTTTGTGATTTTGCCCAAGATCCTGCAGAATCATCTGCTAAATTTGTTTCATTGTATTTTATGATATTGGCTGGTTGAACATTTGCCCGGGGGGGGGGGGGGTGTCTGGTGTCCATGTTAGTACTTTTGGTGTAAGTTGTTGAGGCCATATTTGAAGCCCTTTGTTAATTGTTCTGAATTCACCCATTTGTCAGGAAACTAGGTTTGAATCCACAGATTATTCTTTTATGTGCTTTTGTTTAGTACCATTTTGCTCCATAAGTCTTTCTTTCGTTCTATATCGCTCTCCTTCATCTTAAGACTGCACTCTTTCCAATGTTATTTCTGATCAAACCCTCTCTCTTAATCCTTCAGCCAATATCCACATTATTTGGGCCTTTAATGATCAAAACACTAAATGGCTCAGCAGAATAGCTAAATGTTTATGCAGCCCCGGTCACAAACCCAGCCTCAGCCCTGGCTATATTTTATCAAACCCAGACCCAGTCAAATATCAACCTTCATCACTTACTAGAGATATACTAACTCTGCATGAACTATGCTAGCTCTGCTTCTTTACTAAGTTGTTTTTGTTTCTTTTTAATAAAGAAACCCTCCAGTCTCGTCCAGGTAAACTATTCTTGAACTTTAAAATCCTTGTTCCTTTTTTGTCCATTATTCTTATACAATCATTTGTATATAGAGTGCATCCGGTCAAACTTTTTACACATTTTTTTATTTATTTTACTCACTAGAATTTTATGTTTTAAATCTCATTTAAGTATGTCTTTCAGTGTTTTATATTACTTATGCTTAAGTTTTGGTGTGCAGGTATCATATTAGAATCAATAATATTTGATTTTATGTTTAAAAACATTTTAAATTCTTCAATCTAATCTAGGTTACAGTAGATGGTTGGTTCGCTTTTCCAACAAGTGTCTCTAGTCAAACAATGTTTATTTGACAGTAAAAATAATCTCTAAACTACATCATTAAGTTTCGAATGAAAATAAGTAATTGCCTGTCACCCGAACTATTAGGAGTGTGGCAGATGATGGCACATTGTTGCCTTAAGTGAGTGACTGATTAAAAATAAAAAAAAAGTTGAACAAGTATTTTACAGCAACCAAAGATGATCATAACACCAGTTGACAATTTTGCTGGCGAGAGTGTCAGCCTCATAGCGAATAGAAGAAGAGTAAAAAAGTTTATTTATCTATACTTTTTTTTTTACTTAAGCTTTGATTTCATTAAGCGTCAACAAAAATAATTTCTAAATAAAAACATTTAAAAAATAACATTTTTAAAAGGGGAGATTTTATAAATTTAAAGGATTTAATAAAAAACTTTTCAGACAAACTTCTGTGTGTTAGTAACTGTATAATGATCTGGTCTTCTAAAACCAGATGTATTGTTTTTGATGGTATGACTATTAAAGTTTGTTGGCAGTTTTGAAAAAATGAATTAAATCTTTTTTTTACTCTCAATCAACATAGGTTTAAAGAGTTTAAGTATTTTTTATATAATTTTTGTATGGTTTTTGACCTTTTTTATGTTTTCAAGAATATTAGTATGCTTTACATTGAGACCATTTTTGAAATGCAAATTCTTGATGTGGTCTAACATAATATATGTACATGTCTAAAGTCTGGTTTGTGTTTAAATGTTTAAATGTTTTTGGTAATTTAAAAGTTTTTTTAAATTTTCTTATAAAGCAGACATCTTTTTTCAAGTTTGGTTGTGTTAATCTCTTATCTGTTGTGTTATGTTAATCATCTGTAATATATTTATAACTTGTTCCCATGTTTTATATTCAAATCTTGTTGTTGTTTACAATGTGGATATTTTCAGCAAAACAATTATCTTTTCAAATATTGATTATCTAAAGTCGTTTCAGTTAATTGAAAATAAATGCAAAAATTTCTTAAAAGTAGAAAAATCACAAACATATAAGTTTGCATAATAATGTTGCATTCTTTTTTTTTTTTTTTGGAAAATAAACATTTCATAGTGGTTAAAATATGGTATCAGATATTAAAATACTACATTTTGATGTAAAACTATCTGAATGCCAATGAGTATTCTCATTGTTGGAATGAGCCTATCGTTTTTTAAAGATTTAAGGTAACGAATCTGTATTAATAAAATCTTTGTTGTTTTGATATTTTAATGATCTCTCTGATAATCTTAATGATCTCTCTGATAATCTTAATGATATTATTTTAATGATCTCTCTGATAATCTTAATGGTCTTAATTTAATGATCTCTCTGACAATCTTAATGATGTTAATTTAATGATTTCTCAATCTTACATCTAAAGCTTTGTTTGTTGATGATGCAATTAAATAGATATTGATAAGGTACCTGATCCTAAATGTGATCTTTCCACTGGAAAGACACAGGGGAAAGATCAAGGAATTTTGATTGTTTTCTGTTCTAAGCAAAAATCCTTGTATAGAATACTGTTATGTTATATTTTGAGCCAGCTTCTTTTTGTGCTGCCCTTTTGACACATTTCAAAATCATTTATTTAAGCCTCTTATTTTAAAATATGGGACACTTTTATGTAAATGCTGAGGCTTTTTTTTCAAACTATTGCTTATTTGAACCCTCCTAATATATCCTTATAATAGAATAAAATAAAGAATAATAAAAAAAAAAAGTAAAGGTATAGCGTCGTTGCAAAAAAAAAAAAAAAAAAATGTTTTCTTTAAACTACGGCTATTTTGGGTCAGCAGTTTTTTTTTTAATCTTTTTCTTTTTTAATCTTTTTTCAATTGAATGTAGAGCAACAGATATCAACTTAAATGCCTGTATTTGTTCAAAGAAGACTGGACATGAAAATAATGTTTATGTTGAAACACACTGTGATAGTTTTGTAAGTGATGTTTTAAAGTTGTTTTTTTTGATTTTACTAAAATGTTTATATTATGATAAAATATGTAAATTTCCACTTGTAAAGGTTTTCTTGAATCTTGATTAAAACACAATAAAAACATACACATTCATTATTAAAATACAATAAAAACCTACACATTAATTATTAAAACACAATAAAAACATACACATTCATTATTAAATCACAATAAAAACATATCTTAGTTTTAATTATTGTAATATTTATAATTAGGCTTCAAGCATGATGCAGCGATTGCAAGGCAACATTGACATTTTGTTGTTTAATCCACCTTATGTTTTAACTCCTTCAGAAGAAGTAAGATTTATAAACAATAGAAGCTAAAAAAACTTTATTGCATTTTTTTCCTATTGTCTGTTTGTTACATAGTATTCTAATTTTTGAAGTAAAAAACAAGCAAAAAAACCCCTAATATACTTGACTTTTTAATATTTGTAGTTTCAGTATTGTTTAACATTTGTTTGATTATTTTTAACACTAACATTAACAGATTGGAAAAAAAGACATAAGTGCTGCATGGGCTGGTGGAAAAGATGGCAGAGAGGTAGATTTAAATTGATTTTTTAGAAAGTAAACTTATATTGTTGATTATTGAAATACATGTAAGAATATATTTGCTAAGAAGTAAATAAATAAAATAAAACAAAATGCATTTTAAGTTGCGTTATTTTTTAATGAAAACATTTCAAATATGAATCAAGTTATTTTCTAGATTTTCTATTTTCTAGTTTTGGTTTTTTTAAGTTTATTTTTTTAATTTTTTTTAAGGTTTCTTTTTTTTTTAGTTGCGTTTTTTTTTTTTCCTTAATTTTCTCTCTTCAAATTTTTTAAAAACATCATAAAAGCTGTAGTCAATTTGTCCAAACAAAGTATGATATATATGGTCAGATATATATGGTCAGAAGTAGTGTGTGATCGCATACTTGGTAATACATGGTAGGTTTGAACTACATACCCTTTATTTATGAAGTAAGCATACTGCTTTTTAGTATGATATTAAATTTGAAATACAGGTAGTTTATGAAAGTGAGCTGATTTTGTAGATTGGTAAGTAAATAAAATAAAGTAAATAATAAGTTTTTTTGTAGAGACATAACGATAATCGCATAAAGATTGCTGTAATGTTTTTGGTTCCTAGGCTATCTATATATATTGATGTATTTACCATATAGTTATAGTTAAACTATATTTTGTTATTCACAGTTGAAGTCTAGTTGCATATATCATTGAAGACAGGTGAGGAAAAAGAAGCTGTTAAAAATCAACAAAAAATTTTGTTGAATCTTGGGGTATAATTATTGAAAAATTATTTATACAGCTTTTTTGATTACCTTGTCTTCTAAGATCTGTTTCTTGGAACCTTTCTTTTTTACGCATTTGTTTCAAACTTTCTAAGGAAAATAGATTTAGCAAAATTTATAAGAATGCCACATTAAACATTATGAATAATGTTAATGATTATGGATAAAAAATGGTTGGCTAAAAGTTATCATTAAATTCACGGTACCTTTATAATCATACATTAAATATTTAATTAATTGTAATTAAATGTTTAAAAAAACTTTATCCTATTATTTTTTCATCTACTACTAACTTTATCCTATTATTTTTTCATCTACTACTTGTATATATAGATCAGATATGTATCTGTCCATAAATGTAATTATCAATAATTGCATTTGTTTTTCTTTCTCTGTTTATTATCATTATTTTTGAAAACCATTTTTTAAACTTTTTATTAGTTGATAATTTTTTAAATTTAACTGTGTTAAATATTATAGGTTATTTACAAGTTTGTTTTTTGTTTTATTAATATTTTTAGGTTATAGATAAGTTTTTGCCACAAGCTATTAATCTTCTATCACCAGCTGGTTTTTTTTATATTGTCCTCATCAAAGAAAATAAACCTTGTAAGAAAAGTGGCTTTTTCTTTTTAAGTAAAGTTTTCGTCGTTAATTTTTATATTTTGATAGTTCTGATTGATTTTTTTTAGATGAGATTATTTCTTTTATGCATGATAATGGCTTTCATGGAGAAGTGGTTGCAGAACGAAAATCTGGTCCTGAAAACTTACTTGTTATAAAGTTTTCACGATCATAAATATTAAAAGATTTATTTTTAATTCAATTGAATATAATTATATATAATTTTTTGAATTGGACAGTGTAAAAAATGGTTTTTTAAAGTTGTTTCTGGTTTAAGAATTTCTGAATTTATAATTAAAGTAATATTAGAAAAATTAAAAGTGTTTTCAAAACATTGCATGTTTCCATTGAAGTGGTTTTAAAACATTGCATAGTTTGATGTTATAACATCTAATTATATGTTGTATCATTTTAAGTAGAATTAAACAAATTATTAGAACAATTATAAGAGTTAGATGAAATATTTTAATTAATAAGATATGTCATTGGATCGTAAAAAGAATGTGGATAAAAATGTTTTTGCTGATAAAATTTCACATCTTGCTAAGGATCAATCTTTAGGTATTAACATTTTTTTAGAAATACTTAAATAAAAATTTTTTATATATATATATATATATATATATATATATATATATATATATATATATATATATATATATATATATATATATATATATATAGTATATATATTATATTATAAATACTTTCTTTGTTTAAACTGATATAGAATATTTTTTTTTTGTTAATGAATTTTAAAAAAGTTTGTTTTACAGACAATCTTTCCTCATCAATATTTGACATTTTTAAAGAAGATAATAGTAATTCAGGAGGTATATGTTTAGCAGAGCAGTCAAATTGTTTAACATCGACTTCTAGTATTGTTGATCCATTTGAAAATGAGGTTTAATTGCATATTATATATATTATTTGCCACTGTGAACCAGAGTGACCGCCAGGGTAAGTTTTTCCCCAGGTTTGATTTTTTTTTTCCAATAGTTAAATATACATTAATAAACACCATTTATTGTATTTAAAACTTCTGGGGGGTTGGATGAAATAAAAAAATTGTTGTTTAAAAATTAAATTTTTAAATCATAAAAATGTTTATTAATTTTGAAAATCTGCAAAGCTGATAAATTGTGTAAACAATTGTGGGCTGTTTATATAAAATGTGTGCTGTTTTTCTGACACAGTTTGGTAAAGGGAAAGGGGGCACAAAGGGCACTGGTCCCTCCCACATACCCCACACACTTTTTTTTAAAGGACCATTTTTTATTTATTTAGAAATTTCTACATATAGAGGATTCTTTTTTGACAATTGTGCCTTTCCACTTCAAAAAACTCAAGATAATTCCTGCAATTGAAACAATGATAAAAACTTTTGTTAGGAACAAATAAAGTTTAGAGGGAACCAACTATCCTAAAGTATATAATAATATGACCAGTAAGGATGATATCCACAATAAAGTTCTATGTTTTGGTTAATCTATGTATATAGTTTTTTTATTTTTTATTATTGCCTAATAAAACACACATTATAATCTAATAAATAACTCTGTTTTATTGACATATGTTTCTCTGATTTATGTTTTAAGGATAGCAATGTGTTGTATTTGATGGAAACAATTTATGCATGTACCTAAAATTGGTGGATAACCTTGAGAGGCATATTAGTATTAATGAAAAATATAACTTATTTCTAGTTTTAAACTGTCTTAGAAAGTTTTAAACCTTTTAAAAGCAGAAGTATTATTTTTATACAAGAAGTTAAAATTGAAACTGATGCTTGGGAGTTTAAAGAGTCCTTTATACATTTAATTAAGTATGTGCGCAACATGTTTGAGAATCTTGAGCTAAGTGTTACATGGAAAGTTTACCTAGCAGTATGCCATATATTTCCTTTTCTTCATTTTAATGACCACTGCCTAGGAGTTTACTGTGAGCAAACAGGAGATGTTATTCATTGTGAGTTCAAAAAAGCTTGGAATAGATACAAGCCTAGAATTAAACATAAATTATGCAAAACAGTTAAAATCCAGTGTTGTGAAATTTGTATCAAACATATTAACTAGATTAAATAATATTATCATATATTATTTAATATACATATATATATATATATATATATATATATATATATATATATATATATATATATATATATATATATATATATATATATATATATATATATATATATATATATATATATATATATATACACACACATATCATACATAAGAACAGGAACAAAGTATTCAAGATGAGTTGCAGGATCTTCCTGTTTGTACTAAATTCTTGGATTTATAACATTTTTGAAGTGTGATACTTTTAACTACTTTTGTCGGAAAAGTTGGAAAAGGGAAAGTTGCTGCACTTTATCCAATGAGCTAAGAGTTTTCTTTTAGCCAGGCTACAGAGTGCAGGATCCTTCACAATACAAAAAACTCCACTTCTCAGCATGAATACTTATTCTGAACACTAAACTTGTGCATTTAAGATTAAATGTAACATAATACTTTACATTTTGTAATTTCAGAGGCTCAATAAGTTTCCAAAAAGTACCATTAGGTTTAGTTTTATTCATCCTATGAATAAAACTAAATCTATTATTTTAGTTTTATTCATTCTATGAAATCACCTTTAAATGTACAGTTAAGTATGACATACATTAAAAAACTTAGTTATATTGTATATGTATATTTGTGTAATGTATAACTTATACAATACATGTTCATACATATACATGCATATTCAATATACTTAAATTTCTCAATCGATATCATACTTATACAATAAGTATATATATATATATATATATATATATATATATATATATATATATATATATATATATGTTGTTATGAAAACTTTAGTTTTCTTAATTCCATATTTTTAATTACGAAAATGTATGTCAATAAAACAAGTATTTATTAGAAAGTAATAATAAAGAATAAAATAAAATACAAAACATAGAATTTTATTGTCATAACAAAAACATAGAATTTTATTGTGGATAGCTTTACCCTCCAGTTCCCCAGGTACCTCATCTTGGTCTTATTGCCAATAAGACCAAGATAGAGTAACTGGGGAACTGCAGATATAATAAGACCAATTTTATTAGTCTGAGATTATGTAAATGATGTACCTGGTGATGATGAAAGATGAAGTACCTGGAGATAATATTACCAATAATATTCGTTATATTAACATATATTTTAAGATAGTGGTTGCCCCTAAACTTTACTGGTTCTAGACAAAGACTTTAATTATTTCAATTGCAGGAGTATTCTTTTGAGTTTTAAATGACCTTATCAAACTGTGTGACACAAACAGCACAGATTTTATATAAACATTTTATTTAATTTAATTTAATTATTTACACAGTTTATCAGTTTTGCACATTTTCAACGGTTTTTGTCAAAAATTTATAAACATTTTTAAGATTTAAAAAGCTTAATTTTTAAACAACAATTTTTTTATTTTGTCCACCCTCCTAGAAGTTCTAAATACCATAAATGGTGTTTACTAATGTATATCTAACTATTGAAAAAAAAAATCAGACCTGGGGAACAACTTACCCTTTCGGTCACTCTGGTCCACTGTGTTTGTCCTAATTGCTATATATACAATATTAAACAAATTTTAAAATTATTTAAAATAACATAAGATTTTGTCACTTTTAAAAAAAATAAATAAAAATAATTGACTAAAATTAGTTTGTTTTGTATTTTAGAATTTTTTATTTGTAATTTTTGTAAAATTTTGAAAAAAATTTGTTTAGATTCAACTTGGATATAAATCGCAATCATTGCCGTATATCAAACAAAATGGTTAGTGTAGTTTTTATTATAATAAGATAATAAACTAAAATACTATAAAATAAAATAAATTTAACAAACAACAAAAGTTGATGAAAACCAATTAATTTCCTTCTATAAATACTATCCTACCTCTTTTCACTCTAAATTTTTTTTAGCTACTTGTAAATTTGAATTGCATATAGAGTAATATTACTGAAATGTGTTAAATTGTTTTGGTTTTGAAAAAAAGTTTAATAATATTGTGGGAAAAGAGAAATTTGCGCTATTTCAACACTGGCAAGTAAAAATAAATAAATAGCTTTTAAATCTAAATTAAGGAATTTTTTTAATTTTCAATTAATTTTTTTCTAAAGTGACTTTGCTCTGAACAAGGCTCCAAGCAACCATTATTTAAGTTAACATAAGACGAACAAAAGAGTGAAAAAGCTAGATATTATTTGACCAAAAGCTTAAAAAGCTGTGAATTCTATAATTCAGGAAAAAATGAACACAGGAAAAAATTCAAAAACATTGATGTGCAATGAAAAATTAGATAAACAAAAACCTTTTTTGAACATGAAGTTAAAGTAAAAGCTGCTTTATTAAGTAAATTTTATTAAACTTTATTAAATTTTGGTTGATAGAATAAGAAAAGGTATCTCACTTGAGCAGTGATCACGGTAGTATTTGTAGAACAAGATGAAATCTCACTACAATTGAACAGAACCTGGTCAGCTATTCCCACTAAATTTACAACACATTTTTAAATCTTATTTAAAAGAGAAAGGTGCAAAATTAAAATAAAAAGTAATAAAATCTATACTTTTTTAAAACTTCTATCTTCCTCGAGTTCATGAAGTTCAATTTCATAACGATTAACTCTTTGCGTGAGAAATATAACAAGGTGAAAGATTAGGTGAACCAGCCAAAATATAATAAGCAGTATTCCATACAAACCATGCAGGGACAAGTAAGAAATTTATATATAAAAAAAGAATGTAATCAGGCATAAGAAAATATATATCACAATAAAGAGAAATTAGCTATCCAGACCCGTAGAATACAGGTCATGGTAATTCTGTTCCACACCAACCATCTCTTTGTGGGGAGAAGATATGCAATTTCTTTTTTGCGTAATTAGACCTTATTAGAAACCTCTACCGATTTATTTCAAAAAAAGAAGACTTGAATGTAACATCTACTCAAATTAGTTATAAAATACTTGAAAAGAAAAACTGGAAACATTAAAATAAACTTTATTATTTACCTATATTTAAATTTACATTAGATATATTACATAACAGTGGGGGAGGAGGGGCTGCATTTTCTAATAAAAAAGTGCTGAACAACTTTTCTCGTTATTAACTTGGGTTTAATGGCTGCTGCGAGTTCTGTATCAAACATGCACAAATGAGTAATGGCAGAATTAAATTCAATATTAATATATAATAGATAACTTTGTAGTAGATGCTAATTTTGCATCTACTACAAAGTTATCTTTTAATTTAAAAAAATAAATTACTTTTTTTAAAAGAAGTTACTTTTAATTTAAAAAAATAATATTCTTTTTTTAAAAAAAGTTACTTTTAATTTAAAAAAATAAATTACTTTTTTTAAAAGAAGTTACTTTTAATTTAAAAAAATATTCTTTTTTTAAAAAAAGTTACTTTTAATTTCAAAAAATTATATTCTTTTTTTAAAAAAAGTTACTTTTAATTTAAAAAAATAATATACTTTTTTTAAAAGAAGTTACTTTTAATTTAAACAAATAATATTCTTTTTTTAGAAAAAGTTACTTTTAATTTAAAATAAGAATATACTTCTAATTTAAAATTTAGCTGTCATAATATGTGTACTCAAAAAAAATAAGTAAAATACTTTTTAAAAAATTTTTAATAATGACAAAATAAGTTTAAGTAATAAGTTATCAGAGATGAATGATTTTGCCAATAGAATATATTTTCTAGTGGTATTTGGAGATAATTGTTAGATATTTATTTTCTTCAAACCAATTATTAGGGAGTTCTAGCTCTTAATTTATTGTTATAAAGATGTGCAGCCATGGTGTAGTGGTTAGAGTTCTGGCTTCTAAACTGGAGGTCCATGGTTCAAAGCCATATATGCATCATTGGTAAGGAAGGAGGTGTGACCAGTCTGACTTCTTTTGACCTAAATTAATAATTAAATCAACCTACAATTTTTTTACTCATTTGATTTCTTAATTATACTATACAGTCATAATTATTTGAGTTTTGTTTACCATCTAAAAATAAATTCTTGACATGAACAAAAACAACATTAAATTCTGAAGAACAATCGCATTATAATTCTTTTTTTTTTTTTTTTTAACAAAAAGTAAAAATGTACTTTAAATTTGTAGATAATGTTTTGCAATTTGCATCCACAAACAATTAGACTTATTTGCAATTGAGTTTTTTTCTCTCTTTTGATAATCTAGGACTTAAAAAATTCTTAAGAAATTTTTAGCACTAGAATTTGAAAAAATCTATTCTAATATTACCCAATTTGCATTTTTCGAAATGGGGTGTATTAAAAACAATTTGAATTGTGGAGATTGTATCATCCAAATTTTGCAGTTTTCTATTTCAAATTAAGCTCTTCCAAAATTTCCAATTTATTCACTAAATCGCTAGAATTGTAAAAATGAAACTGTATATACCAAGTTGTTTTTAATGAAATTTTATCTTCAGTATCACAACATTAAAATTTTACAATTCTATTTTTTTTAGATAATAATAAAAAATATGTTCATATATTCTGAAAAGAAAATTTTTAATACATCCACATGCGGTAAAAATTTAGTCAACTAAATTTAGGCTAAAATAATTTCTTATATATTTCAAAACTCTTTTTATAGATTTATTTATACATTTACAAAACAAGACATTTTATTGCTTTTCAAAAAGTTTAACCTACATGTAATAATGATAATAATAAATAAATAAATATATATGAAAAAAAATTAACAAACTGGTGTTAAGGATCTACCCAATCACGCAAAAAAACCACAGAAGCAAGTCCGTTATTTGACCCAATGCAACTTAAAATGCAAAAAGAACTTTCACAACTTCAAGAAAAGCTTGCTATTAGTGAAGAGAAACAAGCCCAGGTATTTTTCTTTTTTAATTGTTTTAAATGATTTTTTTGTCATGATTTTCTATGGTATGTATTTCTATTACCTACAAATACAACAAGATTTTTATAATAGCTTCTTTTGGCAAACAGTAATCTGGAAGAACAATGTCAAATGTTGAATCTCAAGTGCTCTGAAATAATGAAAGAGTTGCAGCATAAAAAAACAGAGCTTAATATGCTCATTTCAAACAAAAATAAAGAAATTTTGCTAAAAGATGAACAGATTTCTCAGTTAAAAAAAAAAATGTCGGATTTATTTAATAATCTTGATGATAAATCTTCTAAAAAAGAAAAAACTTCTGAACAACGTCAGAATTATGAACAGGTGATTACTATTATTTGATTTTAGTTTATTTATTTTTATTATAATAGTGATAAATGCACTTGGAATACCTGTGCTCTAATCAGTGGAATATTGATTGTAACAGTGGAAATTGATAAATTATTTTATGAAAGTTTATGTTGGTATACAGGCTGAATTATTAGTATTGCTTTTAAGATGTGGAAGTATGAATCTTTATAAAGTTAAATTTTTAAAGAAAGGAGTAGAAAGCATGAGAAAAGAGCATTTTTTATTTGTGAGTGAATCAGAAAACGATTTGGAAAAAGAGAAAAATAAAAATAGTCATTTATTTTTGTACATTGATACAAAAAAAGTTTCAAAACTGTCTAAACTATGCTAACAATGTTACTATAGTTACTAGTCTAGTTACTGTAGTTTACATACACACACACACACACACACACACACACACACACACACACACACACACACACACACACACACAAAAATAAACTGAAAACAACATGGCTGCTAAGTCTATTTGACATTAAATCTGGTAATTGATATGATCAAAAACTGACATGTTTTAATAAGATTATAAAGTTGTAATAAAGTTCATTAGTTGTAAAATTAGTACAATTTTGTAATATTGTCCAACAGTATTTAAGTAGAACTTTTAGAGTAGGGCTGTACCAAATTTTGGCTGCGGCTCCTGCTCCGGTCAAAATCCGGCCATTTTTACAAATTCGGCCCAAATCCGGCATAATTTTGGCCGGGTTTCTGAATTTTGGTGAGATATTTATTACATCTTTCTTGCCCGTGATAACATGTATACTTAATATTTTATTTTTACAAATCAATGTTTTTAGTAATTCTTTAGTCTATGAACTTCATGTAAGTTTTGGTATCTGTATTTACATTTCTTTACAATTTAATTAGTTAAACCTTACTTTCAAACAACAACGCAACAAAAAATTCTGAAGTAAAGACACATGATATTCTGCAATAATGCAGGTGTAAAGACTATGAGGTCAATTCTAATCAAGTCATTGGATGAGCGTTTTAAAGGCATTGAGGAGAAACCTTTTTATATAGTGGTGACACTGGTTGATCCATAATTTCAAACTAAACTCTTCTTGTTACAGGCAACACTGACAGGTGAAAAAGCAAGATTAAAGTCAATCTGAACATGCTGAGAAAACTAAAGAAAATCCAGCAAAACAAGCCCGGCTGGATAATTCTTATTCATTATCATCATTACAATGAGAATATATATAGATGAAATTATTCAGTATACACCCGCTTGTGTAACAGTACATGAACAACAATTACCAACAGACATTGACACTCAGCTAAGCCAATATCTGAAAGAATCAGAAATATAAAGACACGCTGATTCACTACAGTGGTGGAATGACAACATCCCGGAAAAAAAGTTCTATAGAATTTCTATAAGTTTTTGAAACATATGGCCTATAGAAACTCAATAGAATTTATATAAATTGTCTATTAATTTCTATAGAAATTGCTATAAAACTTTTTAACAAAAAAAATGAAGTTTAATAGAAAACAACTGTCACTTGGTATTCTGAATAGTCAAGACTGTTGACCATTTTCAGCACCAAGTAGGGACGTACAGGATATTGGCTCCTGTAGTTTTACTTCAAAGTCTGGCTCCGGCTCCGATTTTGGCCGGATCTGTTAGTAGAAATCCGGCATATCCGGCTCCGGCCGGATTTGGAAAAATTAAATCCGGTACAGCCCTATTTTAGAGGAACCTCTGTTAAGAATTCTTTGTAGAAAATTATCTCTAAAATACATGTGCTAAATGCAAATACTAAAATCGAATGCAAAAGTCCATTTATGAAAATTCAAAAAAAAAATTAAAATGGATTAGTTATCAAAGGCTAAAAAAAGGTTCATCTTTTTGCAAACAAGCTTTGAACTCCATACTTTACCAAAAAATGATTATAAACAACTGTATCAATATGCTATTGTTTTTTCAGAAGTAAGCAAGGCAGTTCATGGATTTATTATACACAAACTAGCTCCTTAACATAAGGCTAGAATAAAAATCTGTCTGCCCAATATTCATTGCAAAAAGTCATTTTTGTTCTGTGCTTTCTTGATATTGTTCAAATATCCATCATGAATTAAAAGTTGTACTTGTTCATGTTTAACAAGTGATTTTGTAGCCATACTCAAAGATAATGATTAAGTTGCACACGCCTGTAATCTATATCATGCATATAAGATATTTTATATAACTATTGCTTGATAATTATTGCTTGATAACTATGCAATCACTCACACAATGTGTAATTGTTTAATGTGTTGCTTGAAAAAACCCCTGTAATTATATGTATAAATACAGTTTTTATGCAATAAAATCTAAAACAGATTTGAGATGGTTCCTCTAAGTTGCGAGATACAATGAAAATGTTTCAGAACAGAACTTGAAAATAAAAGGGGCTTTATTTTCAGCTTTTTTATTTTATTTTATTTTCAACATCTGATTAGTGATTACAATTATTTTAGGGAACGTTGAAAGAACTTACAGAATTAAGGGATAAGTGTCAGTACCTACAAAATGCTTTGTGGCAGCATGGGCAATGCAAAATTGTTTTAGAAAATGAGCTTCATAATCTAAAATTGCATGTGAACTCTTCAAGGGAGGTAAGCACCTTATATACATAATATAAGCATCTTATATATATAGAGGGTAAACGGGGGGGGGGGGGGTAAGCATGTTAAACTATATGCATTGAAGGTAGTTTAGGGTTTCTTAGCAGCACTATAATCATAAATTCTTTTTTAGACATCATATGTCAAGGAAGCCAATAATGGTAATTTATAAAATGCTCAAAACAATTTAAAATTATTTTTTTGTTTTGAAAAATGTATATAATAGATGTAATATTTTTAATGAAATTTTTTAAATATTTGTAGGAAATAAAAATGATATTGATTTGCTACGACAACAGCTAGACATATATGCAGAAGATTTTAAGGCAGAAAAGGCTGAAAAAGAAAAACTTTTAGCCGAAAATCAATCTCTTAGAAAACAATTAGTAGTACTAAATGAGGAGAAAGAGCCTTTAATGAGACAAGTAAAGAAATTTAAAATAAACTGATAATAGTATTTTAGAAACTCTTTGTAAATTTACGTAGTTATTCCACAACTTAATAAGCTTCCCCTAATTTAAGAAGTTCTAGCTGAAGTTCCTTTTATGCTTAGTAAAACCATTTTTTAACTAAATTTTTTTTTTCAGCTTCAATATTATGAGGAAGATTTTCGGAAAGAACGTGATAAGCGTATTGAACTTCTTCGAAAAAATAACATGTCCTCTGAAGTAGTTTTTAGTTTTTTTAGTTTTTTTATCATTTAATTTTGAAATCAATTTGAGTTAAAAAAATTTAATTACTATAAGTAATATATATATATATATATATATATATATATATATATATATATATATATATATATATATATATATATATATATATATATATATATATATATATAAGGCCCTGTGAATCTTTGAAATTTTTAATCGAATCAGAAAAGAGATTTGAGTTTTGGTTTTAAAATATTTTAATAAGTAATTTTATAAAAACATTTATTTTATATTTTATATAGTAAATGGCCCACACTATGCAATGTAATTGGAGAAAAAAAAAGTTAATTATCTTTGATTATAAGGGGGCAGGGGCGGATCCAGGATTTTTCAGTATTTGAGTTATATAACTTCCAGGTAAGTTCTAAACTCCAAATTTTTGTAATTTTATATTTTAGTCATTTAATGATGATTTGCCAAAAATTGCTTTGATTAGAGCCTGGGAACAAAAAACCCCTAAAAAGTAGACATCACCTCCCCAAATGTGGGGGGAATAAGTTTTTCTATATATAAATTCTAATATCCTAAATAAGGTGATAATATCGTTAAGGTTCTAAATTTTTTTTGAAAAATATTATGTTTAGAAATTATACCCAGTTTAAATTTACAACCCCCTCATTTTGAGGGGGCTCTAAACTTTAAACTCTAATTCGTAAAGGCTCCAATAGTCACATGCTTGGCCTGGGCATTTACATTCATAAGAATTCACCCATTTGTCGGGAAACTAGGTTTGAATCCACAGACTACTCTTTTATGTGCTTTCGTTTAGCACCACTTCACTCTATCACCTTTCTCTTTGTTCTATATCGCTCTCCCTCATCCCAAGACTGCACTCTTCTTGATGTTATTTCTGATTATATTGACCAAGCCCTCATTCTTTATCCATCAGCCAATATTGTTGTTGTCGGTGACTTTAATGTTCATCACACTGAATGGCTTGGCTCTAGTGTCAGTGACTCTGCAGGCATTAAGGCCCACAACTTTTGTCTTTCTCAATCCCTAACTCAAATAGTCAACTTTCCAACTCGCTTTCCAGACAACCCGAATCATTTACCTTCTCTACTTGACTTATGTCTTGTTTCTGATCCTAGTCAGTGTTCAGTTTCTTCACACTCACCCTTAGGTGCATCTGATCATGGTTTGGTCTCTCTAAAACTATTATCTCATTCTTCTTTACCATTAGAATCCCCCTATCATCGTACATCTTACAACTACATTAAAGCTGACTGGGACTCTTTCCGTGATTTTCTTCGTGATGGCCCCTGGGTAGAAATCTTTCGTCTCCCTGTTGACAAATGTGCTTCTTACATAACAAATGTGTCTTCTTCCTATCATAAGCAAGGTTTTTGAATCTTTAATTAACAAACACTTAATCTCTCATCTCAAATCTCATAACCTACTTTCTGATCATCAGTATGGATTTCGATCTTCTCTTTCTACGGCTGATTTGCTATCAGTAATAACTGATAGGTTTTATCGCGCATTAGATAAAGGTAGAGAGGTTAAGGCCATTGCTCTTGACATTTCTAAAGCGTTTGATAAAGTTTGGCATGCTGGTCTCCTCCATAAGCTTTCTTCTTATGGTGTATCTGGAAACATCTTTAAGATTATTGAATCCTTCCTTTCCAATCGTAGTATAAAAGTTTTCCTTGATGGACAGCACTCTTCTTCTTATTCTGTAACCTCAGGGGTTCCCCAAGGTTCAATCCTTGGCCCTATACTCTTTTTAATTTACATTAACGATCTTCCAGATTTTCTCACATCTAAGGTGGCATTGTTCGCTGATGATACTACCATTTATTCTTGTCACGATAAGAAGCCAACTCCCTCTGATTGCTTGAAGGGGGCATCTGAGCTTGAAAAGGATCTCACTTCTGCTACAGCATGGGGCTCACAGTGGCTGGTGAACTTTAATTCAGATAAAACTCAATTTTTTTTGGCCAATCGTTATTGCAATAATTAAGACCTTCCTATATTTATGAACGATAATGTACTCGATAAGTCTCTTACCCTTCATCTTCTAGGATTAACTCTTACTTCTGATCTTTCTTGTAAACCTTATATCAAATCCGTTGCAAAATTAGCATCTGCTAAAGTTGCTTCTCTTTATCGAGCTCGTCACTTTCTTACTCTGGATTCTATTCTCTATCTCTATAAATCTCAAATCCGGCCTTGTATGGAATACTGTTGCCATATCTGGGGCGGATCTTCTAATGATGCCCTTTCTCTTTTAGACAAGGTACAAAAACGCATTGTAAACATAGTTGAACCTGCTCTTGCAGCCAACCTTTAACATCTGTCACATCGTCGTAATGTTGCTTCTCTTTCTCTTTTCTACAAATACTATAATGGGCACTGCTCTAAAAAGCTAGTGTCTCTTGTGCCATCTACTAAAATTCATTCTCGTGTTACTCGTCATTCAATCAAGTCTCATCCTTTTTCTGTTACTGTTCCTAAGTGCTCCAAAAACTCTTATTCGTCTAGTTTTTTTCCTCGAACATGAGTTCTTTGGAATTTCCTTCCTTCATCTTGCTTTCCTGATTCATATAATTTGCAATATTTTAAGTCGTCTGTCAATCATTATCTTGCTCTACAATCTTCATCTTTCTCTTCCAGTAACTTCCAACACTAATTAGTGGTTGCTTGCAACCTTGTTGGAAGCGAAGATAATTAAAAAAAAAAATGGCTATAACTTTTGATGATTTTTTGATCAAACTTTAAATATAGATACAAATTTAAATTTTATTAAAAGAAGTAACTTTTTTTTTCAAAAAATCATTTCCCCTCTCATTTGGGCGGGTGATGCCTACTATTTAGGATATTTTTGTTCCTAGGCTCTAATCAATGCAATTTTCGGCAAAGCATTCTTAAATGACATAAATATGAAATCGGACAAATAAAGGTTCAAAGCTTTTTCTGAAAAATGTCAACATAACATAAACTATTTTTCAATGACAATTAATATTATACATACAATTTTAAAAAAAAAACTTCTTTAAGATTCGATGTTAAAATTTCTGATTTGCAGAGGCTTTAAGATTCTATAAAACATTGGCAGGTAAAACTTAATTTTAACTTTCAATGTTAACAAAATTGACTAATGCACAATACGCAGAGGCTGTAGAAACATACAAGGCTGTTAACTACCTATGGAGATCTATTTATGGAAATTTATGTATTTTTAGGTGTTAACTAGTAAAAATTATAAGGGTGTTAACTAATAAAAATTTGTAATAATATAAAGTAATAAAATCTAGAAGAACATATATTAACAATAATTCAAAGGGTGCAAATAGAAATAGCAAGGACTATCTTAATTTAAATCTGTGAGTATCTATGCATATGTTAAGCATCAAAAGTTGGTAACTAACTAAAAATAAAGATCGAAATATACACAAATGCATATTATTGGAAATCTATAAAGAACTAAAAGGATACATTATATTTAAACTTTAATGGGCACTGACTACTTTTAAACGATTAAAAATTTAATTGCGACTTTAAGAAAGCTACAAAAAGGAGAGTAATGTAAGGTTTTATGAGTTTATTTTTTTGTCATAAATAAAGATTTATAAAAAATCGACTTGGAATTGAAGATTATTTAAGATTAAGTTGATTATTATTTGATTGTTTTGATTTATTTTTCAAGGGTATGTGTATCTGCGTTTGTGTAGCTGTGTATGTGTTGCTGCGTTACTAAATAAGGATAGCAGCTTAACGAAGCTAATGAAACTTCAGTATAATATACAAGCGATAGTTTAACAGCTTTTAATACATTTTAAAAATAAGTATTGGTCTTTTTCATCTGCTTTTATCACATTCATAAATGTTTTTAGTTTCTGCTTAGTAATCACAATCCAAGTAAATATCTTACAATTTAATTTTACACAATCTCGTGTCTAACTTACACGTGATTTAACTTTAACTCACACGTGATTGTGCAAAGTTAAATTGTAAGATATTTAACACATAATAGTAATTCCATTTAAGCTGAGAACTCAAGATTGGTTACTATTGGTTACTGTTAGTTTGTAACTTTAAATTATAACATGAAAAAAAGAAAAGAAAGAGAACAAATAGGCAAAAATGTATCCTCTTGGACAGAAATCACCAGTGGTGTGCCACAGGGGTCAGTAATTGGACAACTCTTGTTTGTGCTGTTTATAAACGATTTGCCTGAAACTCTAAAAAACATAGTTAAGCTGTATGCAGATGACACCAAAATTTTGAATGAAATTCTTTCCTGTGCATTAACTCTTTCTTCGCAATCAGATCTCGATTTAGTATTTAAGTGGACTCAAGACTGGCTTGTGAAATTTAATATTTCGAAATGTATGGTCATGGACTTTGGTCGGAATAACAAAAAATCACCCCTTTATATCAATAAACAAAAGTTAAACATAACTGAAATTGAAAGTGATCTTTGAGAAATCTTCTCAAGAAATCTGAAATGGAAAAATCATGTAATAAAATGCTTAGGAAAAGCCAATGTTAGGAAAAGCAAATGTTGGGTCGGATTAGAAAATGCTTCTTTTGATTAGATCTTAGACTCCTGAGAATACTTTATGTTTCTTTTAGGCGACCACTGTTAGAGTTTGCATTACTAGTTAGGTCGCCTATTCGAAAGGGTGAAAATGATTTATTAGAAAGAGTCCAAGGTCGAGAATCGTCTTGAAGCCTTGACAAAAAGAAGACAAAGAGGAGAGATGATTTAACTTTTTAAATTTTTTAACTCAAACGAGAGGTTACAGTTTAAATATGTCAAAGAAATCACTAAATAAGCGTGTTGTAAAAACTTTTTATTTAATAGATCAGCCAATTTACAGAAAAGGCTTGCCAAGCAAGTTGGTTAACGCACAATTAGTTAAGATTTTTAAAGCAGGTCTAGATTTCTGGATTAGCAGCAATCAAGCAAATTGGCTGTAATAGTGTGTTAATACCACACTCACTGGCTTATACCAGTTACAGCAATTACTAATACTACGACTCTGTTTCACAAGAATATTTATGCTATGCTTAAATAGTGGTTGATCTATAATAATAATAATAATAATAATAATAATAATAATATAAACTTGTTTTAGCAGTCGAGTGCACAATCGTCGTTTTCGTTATGTCCTTCTTACTCTGATGGAGAAGCTCAACGTAAGTGGAAAGAGTATTGTTGTCTTGTTGTTGAAAAAGAAAACCTCACTGACCGGATTAATGAACTGGAGAACCAAGGAATAACTCGATACAATGGAAGAGTTTCGGATCAAAATTCAAATTACTCGGTACATTTTATTATTTACTTGGTAACTACTAGCAATTTTTTTTTAAGGAACTAAAGTTTATTATATAATTGTTTTTATTTTATTAAGAACACCTCCTTTCGGAGTAAAACTCCGAACCATCCTCAACAAAAGTTGTTTCAACGAAGTCCGGATCAATACTACAGACCGGACGATTGGCCGAATAATGTATTCGGAAACCGGATGGGATCGGAATCAAGTTTTGATGCTCATCACTATTATCCCTAAATTTTTAAAATTTGTTTTTCAATTATTTAAAATAATCGAGTTTTTAAATTGGTGTTAAAAATCGGTTAATACAAAATCATCTATTTTATTATCTTTATTTTTTTAATTTTATTGTAAAGCTCTAATTTCTTGACCTGTAATATATTCTCATTATTTTTATTTACAATTATTTTATTGAATGTAAATATTTTATAGCTGCATATAAATACAGATGCATATGTATCTTTTTCTCTTTATTACACATTTATATTATTCATTTCTTATATATTTATATATTTTTCTCTTTATTATATATTTATATCTGTGTAGTAAAATTAATAGTTTATTTAACATACTTCCAAAAATTAAATTAAGGAATAAAATAAAAAATGATTAAAAAGTATTATCGCCATCTATAACACATGAAATATTTTTTTCGCAACGAATTCAAAACACATAAAAGATTTTTATTAAAGTATTTTAAAATATTGATACTAAATTTTCCTCATTGGAGCTCCAATTTTAAAAGAGAAAAAGGGCGCGGTGTGCTAGTTGGGTGCACAGGGTTTCCGTTCCTTAAAAACTTTAAATATTCTTAAAAAAAAAATCATCCTTAAAAGTCCTTAAATAAAGATAAAACTTGGTTGCTCTCCTTAATTTCTCCTTACAGTTGACTCTCGATATCTCGACTACTCAACATCAATTTTTGTGTATCTCAAACTTTACTTCCAGTCCCTTGCACACTTATTTGAGCCAAAATCTTCTCGAAATCTTAAACTCTTAATATCTAAGCTTTGTCGCAGGTAAATCAATTAAGAACTTTTATGATTTATGGCTCCCCTCTTTAAAAAAAAGTTTTATATGTATGTAATTGCTTAGATATGGTAGATCATAATAGACTTTTTTTTCCTTGCAATTTAGGTCACATAATTGTACTAGCATTTAATGTAATGTAGCATTTTACATTTAGTGTAAATCAGCACTACCTCTTGCAAATCTTTGATCAATATGTTTTTCAAAAGCTAAACAGGCTTCGTTAACAAGCAAAATCCCAGACCAACAATCAAGTTGTTTAAAATTTCTGTTTTTTAAAAATATCACATTATCTTGTCAAAATTTCATACTTTTTACAAAAACCCAGCTAATCCCTCTTGTTTGTTATTGATTTATTGTCTTTGAAAAACAATAGAAACCAATCTGTTTTACTTTGTTTATACAATCAGACTTTTTGATTTTCAAACCCTTTTTTTCCGGTCCCTTGAGGGTTCGAGATACCAAGAGTGAACTATACTTATTTTTATTTTTTAATCATCTAGGAAATTTTATTAAAGTGAAGAATAATTATTAAAGTATATAGTTCTTATATAGTTTGTGAACCTAAATTTCTGCTTATATATGGGCAATTCCGCGAGAAAGAGTATAAAAAAAGAAAATGTTCATCAAATTAATGCGCTACGACCGTCACTAAAAAAAGTCAAGAAGTTTTTTCTAGGTATCGTATCTGACTTTATAAAGCTAAAAATATAGTAAAAGTAAAGATACTGATAAGTTTTATAATTGTTGTAAATTTTTTAAAAAAAAAAAAAAAGCTACAGATGATAGTATTAAGATGTAACAAAGTACGTTACGACAATCACGCTATGTTTGTTTTTTCATAACGGCATCTTGACATCTATATAAAAAGCGCGAACGATTTTATTATTGGAAAATCATTTGCAGTTTGTTTACTCATAATATTGCTAACAAGACCGTGCAGAGGGTGTCACCCGAGCAAATTTCTCGGGACCCCGGACCCTATGGGGGCCCCGAACAGTGGCAATAACATTCTGGTTTTTTTTTCTTTCTTTTTTTTCTCCATCAAGATCTTCAACTTAAATAATATTAAAATAGCTCATTAAGTTTAATATAAGTTGCCAAACCACTTTCCAATATTCTTCTCACTTACGCAAAATTAACAAATCTTCTATTCACGAATTTAAAGAAACCTTATCAAAAACAAATTTGGCGACCGAGGACTTACAAATTCTGCTTATAATTTATTTATTGATACTTTTCTTGAGCACTACAACAAACACTTTCCAATTATTGAAAAAGAAGTAAAAGTTAAATATTTGAGATGTCCATGGATAACAAGTGGAATAAAGAAATTGTTTAAGAAAAAACAAAAACTATACAATAAATATTTTAAAAATAGAAACGAAAAAAATCTTACTGTTTACAAACAATACAAAAACCTTTTTGAAAAAATTAAAAAGAAATCTAAAAAAATGTATTTTTCTGAACAATTACAAAAGCACAATGGTAGTATTAAAAAAACATGGGAAATTATGAACGAAATTATTGGAAAAACCAAAACTAAGTCCGAAATATTACCCTCCAGAATTGAGGAAGATGGATTGGAGTATACAGATAAATTTTAATAATTTTTTTGTAAATATTGGTCCTAAACTGGCATCCAAAATAAACAACTCGAACAATTCATTTAATAACTATCTTACTGACCATACTAGTTCATTTACTGAGAGTGACCTAAAATCTGAGGAGTTTGAAGAAGCAACAAAATCAATTAGAAAAAACAAAGCTCCGGGCATCGACAACATTCCTAGCAATGTAGTATATGATGTTGTATACATTTTAAAAGATCCTCTTTTAGAGGTTTTCAAGTCATCAATTAGAACTGGAGTTGTTCCAGACAAATTAAAAATTGCAAAGATTTTACCTATATTTAAAACTGGAGACACGGCCTTGCTAACCAATTATAGACCTATCTCAATTCTTCCAGTATTTTCCAAACTCCTGAAAAGAATAATGTACGACCGACTTTATAAATATTTAACAGCCAATAAAATCTTAAGTGAATACCAATACGGCTTTCAAACAAATTATTCTACGGAGCATGCAACCTTATACCTAATGGACAAAATTAGATCATCCTTTGATAAAGGAAAATTTGTATTGGGAATTTTTATTGTTCGTACAAAAACTTTCGATTCTGTCAACCATAAAATTCTGCTCGACAAAATGAGAAAATAGGGTATAAAAAACCAAACTATTAAATGGTTCACTAATTATTTAAATGACAGACAACAATTTGTTATAATAGACGGTATCACTAATACAAAGTTATTAAAAATAAAATGTGGTGTCCCCCAGGGATCTATTCTTGCACCTTTGTTTCTATTATTTCTTATCTACATTAACGATCTCCCTAAAATCTCTAAAAATCTCGATTGTATAATGTTTGCAGATGATACTTATCTGTTTTACTCATCTACCTCTATCAATGACCTTTTTGATAAAGTCAACATTGAGCTTCAAAAACTTAACTCATGGTTCAGTGCTGACATGTTACCATTAAACGCCCAAAAAACTAAACATATTTTATTTCACTCAAAGAAACAGAAAAATAAACTACCATCAATTCTACCCTTACTAAGTATCGAACACAAAAAATTGAAAGAACTCAAACAGCTAAATTTCTTGGTGTGATTATTGACGAAAATGTTTCATGGACAGCCCATATAAATGCCATCAACACTAAAATATCTAAAAGTATTGATATACTTTATAAAGCTAGACCATTTTTATCGCAAAAAAACCTAAAACTTCTTTATTTTTCCTTTATACATAGTTTTCTCACATATGCTAACATTGCTTGGGGAAGCACACACAAGACAAAGTTAATGTCCCTTTATCGACGACAAAAACATGCCTCCAGAATAATACATCATAAGAACAAACTGACCCACGCTAAACCCCTATTAAATGAAAAGAAAGCGCTAAACATTTACCAAATTAATATCTATGCTAATATATTGTTCATGCTAAAATACAAATTAGGGTTAGTTCCAAACCGATTCACAAAAAATTTCTTTCAATCTAATGTCAACAAATTTAACACAAGATCAACTGGTAACTTTATTGTACCCGGAAAAGACACAAAAATTCTCAATTCTCTATTTCTTACCGGGGCCCTTATTTATATAACAAATTAATTCCGAATTATACCTCAATTTCTCTTGCTGACAATATAACTTCTTTAAAGTCAAAACTAAAAAATCATGTTCTCAATACAGATAATTACTTAGATATGTTTTAGTTCCAATGATAAATTAATATTTACGCTCACATTCAAATAATCAGCGATCAATCGAAAATGAAAATGAAATTTTTTTTTTTAATTAAAAAATAAAGATAATATTATTATTATAAACCACAACACTAACACCGTACATAGTATAATAAAAAGAAAAGAAAAGTCTACCTTATTAACATTTAAAATATTTGTTTTATGAGAATCATAATGTTTATACGTGTACTTTACGCAACACCCCAAGGTTTTCGATGATAAGACTAAACTCAGTCTTCTACGAGTTCCCTACATCAGTCAAAACCCTTATCAAGTCAAAGCATATTTAATTATTGCTTCCTACGTTTATCGGTACGTACGGTATTTTGTAAAATATTAATTTTTTTGTATTGAAAGTTTATTTTCTTTATGCTATCGCAGTGTAAAAAAATTTTGTAATTAATATGTAGTTGTAAAAATTTAAAGAAAAAAAAAAAAAAAAAAATTAAAGAAAGGTAACTCCATTCCAGAGAAAAGTCAAAATATTTTAAAACTATTTTATTTCAAAGAAAAGCTCCGCGAAATGCAATGTTTGTTTTTCCAAAATTAGTTTGATAAAAAGGTTGCCGAACTAAATTGTCATTTCTCATATTGTATTTATTTTTATCTTTCAAGGTATATAAGCTGACGATAAAGAGGTTTTAGTTTACTTCTAATGGCATTACACCAAGCAATATTTGCATAGTTTAAATGACAATGGATAAAAGAAAAATATAGTTTTTTTAAACTTTGTTTATTTAAGGCATTTCTAGCCTTATATATTACTCCTATACTTTTAGCAATTTTGTTGTACAAAAAATTAGTGTGATATTTCCAGCTAAGGTTTTCATCAACATGGACACCTAAAAAGTTAGTATTTATTTCTCTTTTTATTTGAATTTTGCCCATAAAAATTATTCGGTTTTGCGGTTTTTTTAATTATAAATTTCGCGTTTTTTTTTTTAATCATAGCAGAACGTTAATCTTAAAAGTTATATTTAATAACATTTTAAATGCCTAAATTAGATGCTGAAAGTTCAAAAGCTTATAGAGCAAGAAACGGAAAAGCGTTGTTGGTAAAAAAAAAAAAAAGGAAAGATATTAAAGAAGACAGTTATCAAAGAACACAACAGAA